GCTAAAAACTCCTCAATTTATTGGTAATTAGTTAACAACCCAACAACTTTTGCTATGCAGGTTTCTGTGTTTTGGTCGATTCTTGTGGTTGTGGTGGTTTACTTGTTTCCTTCCCATTGGAAAGGTGTCAAGGTTTTAGCAGTTTGCATGATCATAAAGTGATGGTATTTTATACTCTAATTCTTCATCAATCTAGGAACCCAATCCCCCTGGAAGGTTCTTTGGTTGATAAAAGCAAAAGATCCATTAAAAACATGAGGGGGGAAAAAAATGATGTTGTGATCTTTATATTTATAGTACAATTTGCTGAAACTTCTTATTATAATAGTTAAAAAAATTTAAATTATTATGATAGAATATTGATAATTGGTTTAATCCAATAAATATTGGTTGATTTAGTAAAGTGGTCTAAACTTAGGAGCTCATAAGAAATTTAGAATGATAATGCTTCTAATAAGTGTGAATAGTTGTTATTATGTTCTCGCTGAAACTGTTTTTATTGCACTAATACTTTAGTAGTGAGAAGTCATCTTCAACTCCAGCAATATTTTATTTTGTCTAGCTACTTATTGTTAATATTTTTGAGATAAATACTTGTTCAATATGTTGATTGTTGTAGAGGGAATCAAATTTTGAAATCCTAAGTAGTTACTTTGCTAGATGGTACTCAAACATTTGCATTATAATAATAACTCGTTGAATTGTTATACTCTTAAAATTTTGACTTTTTTGTTTTAATTCAAAAAGTTTGTATATTTTGTTGGAAGATTGTACAGTTCCCTTTACTATATCAAAAGTACCATTGTCGTTATGTAGTTTTAGACAAATTCTTAGACGTTGTTTTAATGCTTTCAATATAAGAAATTGAATAAATATCAAAATCAAATTTAATTAATAATTATTGTCATTACTTTTTTGGTACAATAACAAAAAACACAAAAATATCCATTTACGACATAATTCTTCATGTCATAGCACTTGAAACATCTAACCGACCAGAGTTGGTTCATCATATTGTTCGGAGGACGATCTAGCATAATAGTCCCTTAATTACTGATTACCCCAGATTAGTCAGGAAATATGCATATTTGTTTTTCTACCTTAGAAAATGGGAAAATTTGGGAATCCCCTGCAACATAAGACATTCTTGTAGTCTACAAATAGTATAGAGGCTCAATGATTTGATCCCAAATTGGTATTAATTGCATTGACCACTTAAGATGTAGGCAGATTTGATGCCACACCAAGTACTATCTAACATACATTCATCACTATAACAATTCATGTTAATCCGTTTTAGAAAAATAATATGTGATGAAGACTAAAAGTTTGCCTCAATAATCTCTAGTGAAATCTTACTCTAAACAAGTGCATTAGAGATGTATCCTCTCTTCATTATTATAGATGAATATATTATGATTAATTGGATGAATTAATAATTTATTTAATGTCATATTAATAGAAAAAATATATTGAGCCGTATAGCCATTTATAGTAGTTTTACATTAATATATTTATAATTCATAACATAAATTACATTTTGGTTGTGTCCAGGTGGGGAATGTATTAGATAATTTATTATTTGTAGATCAAAATTAAACACAAATGTCAGGATGGCCGAGTGGTCTAAGGCGCCAGACTCAAGTTCTGGTCTTCGTGAGAAGGCGTGGGTTCAAATCCCACTTCTGACATTAATTTTACAAGACAGACTCGCGCATCCCCCACTCCCCCAAGCAATAAAAGTCAATAACCCATTTAGTAGTTCAAGTCCACGTTGCCATTATTTTTACCAGCCCGACCCGCTTGACTTTGGAATAAACTCAACGTGATATATAAATACTCCGTAACAACATTTGAATAATTTTAGACCCAATTTATATTATTTAAAATTGTTTGTAATTTAGTTTAAATGTTTGCATTAATGTATTTGAATATTTTGATTTATTGACTAAATATATATTTGAATCTTTAAATACTTTAATATCAATTTTAATGGTTTGTGACATTTTTATATTTATTAGTAATATATTTATTCATATGCTACTAAAATAAAATAAAACAATATTCAATTTGTAATAAAAATTGATATGGAAATTATTTGTGGCAATTTTTGTAATAGAACTTGCAATGGGATTATTAATTTATTGCCATTGCATAAAATTGCAACGAAATTTACAACTAACCTATTACTGTTAAAAACTAAATTGTAACAGATTTAATCAAATTATTTGGTGTAATAATTGCAAGAGATTAAATTTCATTACTATATTTGCAACAAGATTACTGTTGCGAACATTGCAACCAAAATTTTACAATGGATTGAAATATGTCGCTATATTTATAATGGAGTAGGCATGAAAAAATTGTTGCAAGCATTGTAATGAGTGTTGCAACATAAATTAGTTAGTTGTAACACGCCCATTGAAGAGTCTGCAATGGAACATAAATTTGTTGGACTCGCACGCATAGATAAAAGAAAAAAAGTAGTTCCATGTCGCGCGAGTTGAGTGCAACATGCACGCCCAAAGGGCGCGTAAAAGTTATTTTTTTGTTTTTGTTTTTGTTTTTTTTTTTTTTTAAAAAAAAATAATTTCCTTTTGACAATTGTTTTCATTTAATTTTTTTTTTCTCATGTGCTTTCTCCTCTCTTCCACTCATACGGACAAAAACCATTTTAAAACCCCCAACAAATGAATTTTCTCTAATGAGAGGGAACTAATTATTAAGATAAATTAGTTAATTGAAAATGAAGTCTTATTGAAAAGTGTGGCTCAAACTATGCCTACCTTTTCAATGAGTGTCTTTTTGTTGCCTATATCTGTGTGTACAACTATTGAACAGACAATGAATCGCTATTGGTGGGGCTCAGGGACTGACCGTGGTATTCACTAGAAGGCATGAGATAAGTTGTGTATCCCTAAGCAGTATGGAGGTCTGAGTTTCAAGGATCTGAAAGCATTTAATTTGGCAATGTTGGGTAAACATACATGGAGGTTGTTGGCCAATACTGACTCACTTGTCTCTCGAGTATACAAAGCCAGATACTATCCTAAAAGTTCATTTTATGAAGCAGATATTGGAAATAATCCTGGTTATTGCTGGAGAAGTATTATGGCTGCCAAAGCATTAATAACAAGCGGAGTAAGACGTCGTATTGGGGATGGAAAGTCTACCTTAATATGGGAACATCCCTGGCTTCAGGATGAGCTGGAACCAATTGTCCAAACGGAGATGCCACCTCAGCTAACTGGTGCAAAAGTTGTGGGATTAATTGATCAAAATACTGGTACATGTGATCCCCACATTTTAACAGACATTTTCCACCCAAATGATATACCAAGAATTTTAAAGATTCCGGCCTCGCCAGGATATGAGGATATATGGTATTGGTATGGGGACCCAAATGGATGCTATTCAGTAAAGAATGGGTACAGGCTAATGGTGGGAACTTATGAGAATAATACTGGTTTTGATAAGTGGCGAACCCTATGTAATTTGAAAATCCCCTAAATGGAAGACCTTTTTATGGAGAGCTATAGGTGATATTCTCCCTACTACCACCAATTTGCTTATAAAGATGGTGGATATTAGCCCAATTTGTGCCATGTGTGGAGTTATGGATGAGAACACAATGCATGCCTTAGTGTTGTGTGACTATGCTAGGTCCATTTGGGATCAATCTAACCTTCCACTCCCCCATTGTGTAACGAATATTTTCTAGGAATGATTTAAAGTAATCCTAAATGTTCTAGATGCTAATGGGATATTGTTTGCAGCGGGAATATTATACAATATTTGGAGAGCCCGGAACTATGCCGTTTGGAATGCATGTCTGCCAAAACCGAAGAAGATTATCGCGACTGCCATGGCGTCCGTGCATGCGTGGCAGCAGGTGCACTCCGCTGCCCCCTCAGAGCCGGCCGGTCTCACTTCTGCCGACCTGCTGCCACTGCCGGCGGAACAACAGGCTCCCCCTACTGCCGAGACACAACCAACGCTGCCAATGTCTCCCATTGCCGCGGCTGGAATGGAAGCAGTGCCGCGGATGCGATGTTTCGTCGACGCCGGATTTCGGCCTCTCTTGAAGACCGCCACGGTTGGAGCGGTGTTATTCGATGCGTATGGCGGATACTTCTTCAAAACTGTCTCTCACCGCTTATGGCTGAGGCGCTTGCGTGCAAGGAAGTTTTATCATGGCTTAGGGCACGTGGCGAACTGTTAGTTGAGTTATTCACAGATTGCCAGACACTTCAGGCATATTTGGCCACTTCGGCAATCCAACCTAGATCCTACCTTGGTTATGTCCTTGATGACTGTAGGACTACTATAGCTATGTTTACGTTTTGCTTAGTTATTTTTGTTCCTAGATCGCAAAATTATTTAGCGCATATGTTAGCAGCTGAGGCTTTTAATCACATTATGACTATGTACTGCGATGATATCCCAGCTGACTCAATTTTGAGTTACTTATAAATTTAACCACATTGGTTTTTCAAAAAAAATTAGACAACAAATAGATAATCAATGATCCTAAGTTATCTCTTTAATTTTTTTTAAGTGTAAAAATTATTTTTGGTCATACACTTATAGTGACACGGACAATTTTGATCCTCCATAAAAAAAATCAGACAATTTATGAACACTCTTATTGTGACGAGGATAATTTTAGTCCTCCGTCACTCTTCCCGTTAGATGCCCCATTTGAAAGGGGGTATTTGCGTATTTTCATCATACTTCCTTCTCAAAATAGTGAAGATTAAGGTTGATTGATGAGAAAAACAATCTTTTTTCTGCCGGATTAAACAATGGATCCTCCGGACCGGTCGCGTCGGGACAAATGTATTCCCAGAATTTGTTCTTCTTGTGATTCTCGAAAAATGGATGCAACAGTAGGCTATGTATTCTCAGAATTTTTTCTTCGTCGCCGGCGGCTCTCACCATCATGTTGTGTGCAATAGTGGCGTCGGTGAAGAAAACCCGGGAGAAATCCACATGGTTCTTCAGCCACGATTCGGTTCCGGATTGTCCATCGTCATCTTTGGCGTGTGTCCCTGCCCATTCGATGGCCGGCCAGGAATCATCGTAGTAGGCCGGGAGCTTGTGCTCCGAGCCAGCCTGTACTCGACGAAAAGGGTGACAGTGTTGGCTTCGATCCTTAGAGAGTGGAGGAAGTTGTCGTAGTTGTGGTCGAATGCTGAGCCGATGCAGAAAGTGCCGCCGTGGATGAAAACCAGTAGGGGGAATTTCTGGTCGTCGTCGGTGGTTCTGGGAAGGTACATGCGTGCCCAGACGTTGGTTTTCGATACGATGACGACGCCTTTTGATCGGACGCCGATTGTCGGGTTGCCAGTTGGCGAGATCGGCTTATAATTCAGCAACCTCTTGACGCGACCGTCCTCGTAAACGTGAACAAAGGAGAAGAAATCGTGAGCAATTTTAGATGAACTTGAACCCATATCTGATCTGGTAGCTAATTTAATACCCTTGTTCTTTCAGGCCCTTATTATAAGTTCTCTACACGGCTACATCAATTTCTTACTGTGAGAGACTAAAATGCTTTGTCAATCTGCAATGAAGAACACAAGACTCAGTGAGGGAATAAAGAGAAGGAGGTATGATGAAAAGACGCAAATACCCACTCCTTAACATGACTTCTAATGGGAAGAGTGATGGAGGACCAAAATTGTCCTCGTTATCATAAGAGTGTCCACAAATTGTCTGATTTTTGTATGAAGGACTAAAATTGTCCATGCCACTATAAATCTAGAACAAAAAATGTCTTTTACTCTTTTTCTAATAAATTTAATGAGAAAAGGTGAACACCTTAAAATGATTAGAAATGTGATTCAATTGCCCATCCAATTAAAAACCACATTCCCTAATTAAAAAATGTATCATTGGTAATATGACTTTTAAGTTTGTATTGTGCTTTTAGATTTTTGTTTTGATTTTTTTTTTTGTTCATATTGGTGCTTTGAATGTCATTATATTATGATCAATTGCTTTGATTTTTTGTTTTTGTATTTTTAAAACCTTTATTTCCATTATAGGGTCATACATAACAAAATATCAATATTGATAATCATTTCAATTTTACTCTACTACTAAACATGTAAAATACCTTCACAAAAATCTATACCATTACCAAGTATTTGATTTCCATTTCAATTTTGATTTTTATGTGCGAACCAAATACACCCTAAGGATCCGTTTGGAAAATATAGAAATGACTTCTGGAAAATATTTTTCGAAAAATGACTCATTTTCTGGAAAATATTTTCCTTTCCAGTGTTTGGTTGCATTCTGGAAAATATTGGAATGGATGAAAAACTGAAGAATTGAAGGCAATGACGATAACGAAGGCAACCATGTTTTGAGTGTTGGCGGAAAATGACTACATATTCCCGAGTCAACGAAAAATATTTTTCGTTAACTGAATTTTCTTACTACATTCAAACACTGGAAATTTAAAAAGTATTTTACAGAAGTCATTTTTCTGAATTTTTGAACGGATCTTAAGTATCAATTTTTAAAATCTTGCTTTAACCTGTCCCTTTGTCATTTAGCCTCCTTCTTGTGGGCACAGATGCCAATTGAAAGATGTTCAGAGGATAATTTGTAAATACACATATCTTCAGGGTGTAAACAGCGAAGTCCTTTATTTATTTATTTATTTTTTTGTCCGAAAACGGAATCAAAGATCATTTCAGGAAAAAAAAAAAAAAAAAAAAAAAAGAAGAAGAAGACGAAATTGGAAAACCCACTGTCAACTCTCAGGAACAATCAAATCGAACGAGAATCAATCCAAGAGCAAAATTATAGTCTGTTCACTTGTGTTTTCTGTGTTTCAAATTCTCCGATTTAACTCTGCGAGAGTCTTTCCTCTTCGATCGGTATATCCGACTTCACCGATTACTCAAGTAAGTCATTAATTTCTAACCTAAGCTTTTCAACCACATTTCATTTTTTCCGATTACAGAGTTTTAATATGAGTTCAATCTTCTTGTTACTTTAATTTGTTTGCTTGGATACCTGAGCTCATTTTAAAGGTATTTGTAGTTTTCTTTTTGTTTGTTTGTTTGTCCATGTTTAATTTTTTACTAAAGCAAAATTCCGGCAAGTGATCGGAAGTCTCAAGTGAGAAAGAGCAGAAGGTTGGGGTGGGGGTGGGGTGCTGTTGAACTGGTGACAGTGTTAAGTAAGGCCGGCCGGTGGAAATAGAAATCACTTCTATCTTAATTTGATTTTGAGGCTTGTACTTTTGGAGAATTTTTATTTTCCATAATGTTATATACTAAATTACTAATATTCTTTTAGAATAAGTTACTGAAATTTGGGGTTAGCGAGTAGCCGAGTAGGTATTTATCTATTATTGGATACTTGAAATAAGCTAGATCTGATTACTGAGGAAATTCAGGGTGCCAAAGTAACCCCTGAAGGCGAAGCCCTTAAGAAGAGGTCAATCAATAGTTATAGAATAAAAAAGAAAAAGAAAAAAACTTGCTCTTTTTGTTTTTGTTTTTGTTTTTGTTTTTGTTTTGTTATTATTATTATTATTATTATTATTTTTTATTTTTATAAATCCACTTGAACAAGTTCATTATTCTTCCTAATATTAAACCTGCCTTCACTACCAACTTCCCCAGAGATATGACCCACTTGAAAGGTTAAGTATTACTGCTTCATCTTCATCCTCTGTTCTTTTTCAAGTTATAGTCTGTTGGAAGTCTTATAACTTCCTAAAGTTGAACTCATGATTGTAGAAAAGTTATATCCAGATTGTCCAAGAATCAGGATGTTGCTAGTAGGATAGATATTCACATTAGTAAATGAATTTGGGTGACAATTAAATGCTGCTGACTGTAAAGTTTTTCCTTGAGCCAGACTTTTAATTAACTGCTGTGAAACTTAAAACTTATTAGCTGCAAAATTACATGTCTACATCTAACTTGTTCTGTTTGGCAACTAAGCCTATTATAAAACTAGTTCATTTATTCTAGTTTAATAATTTTAATTGTTGAATTTACTTAAAGAATATGTAAATATGTACAGATGTTACTTTTGTAGGCAGGTTTTGTTTTGATGGCTGACCTATATGATAATAATTTAGTACATAAAATCTTTTGTCAAATATTTTCTTTCCCTGGGCCCTTTTGTCCATAAAGGGGCAAACTGAAACCTATTTTCTTGCACTGAGCCCTATCCAATTTTTTGGTATCCAAGCCATTATTAAGGAATTCAAGATATTTCCTTTTGAAGCTAGCAATTTTTTGCGTATTTGAATTACATTATATTCTACTAGAAGTTTGAAACTGGGTTTGATAGTTGTTGGACACAGGGTTTGCTGCCATGATGTTTTTGACGGTTGATGCCAGATAAATGGTAAACAGTACTGTGGAAGTTTTACTTGGCTTGTTGGGTCTCTCCGACATGAGAAAATTACATGACTAATTGAAGCCGAGGCTATTACTGATAAGGTCTGTGCATATTTTTTAGTGATGAGCAGTCATTAGTTCTTTCATGTTGCAGATGAACTCATGATAGCACATTTGTCTGTTCTGTTGTACGCAAGTTTTTGGATATAATTATATAAATGATAATTTAGTTGAATTCTGTTGCTTAAATCATGAAATGAATTTTATTTGTAAATTTGGCTTAGTAGTAATGTTCTGTTACTAAATTTTACATATTGAGTACACTTGTATCGCTTCTAATATCTTTGCATTTTTTCTAGAAATAAAATGTTCCATAATTTTTTTTCAAAAATTAAATCTGGCATGTTATTTTTGTAATATGTTGGTTGTGGATTCCATAGTTGGTATAGGGAAGCTCATGGAATTTCTGAACTCTATGCAAGACTCACTACCTGTGGATCTTTAGTAAACGCTTGGTTGTTGCTGTTTTTGTGAATTATATTCTAAAAAAAAAAACTTTCATATTGTTTTGGAAGAAATAGAGCAGAATTGGGAACTTAGCTGGGAACTTTAAGAGATAAAGTACTTCCGTCCCTCTCAATTTTCTTGACTTCATTTTACCTGCAATGGGATTAAGGAAAGAATTCTTGGGTTGATTTCTTCTTATGTTTTCTAATAATCTGAGCCAGTAATGGAAACACTTAAATATATGTTGGAATGCATTGAAAAAGTAATTGTGTAAAAGTGGTTAGGATAATTGAAATAATTGAATCTTGAAACTATTTTAAATCTGTATCATGTATTGAAATGGCAAAATAATTTTGGGGTTTACCAACATGTACAACAGGTCAAACAATATGCTAAGTAGGGAGCGTTTTTTATTTAGTCAAGGGAGACTGCTGAATACTTATAGTGGCGCATTTTATTCCATAAAGTGTGCTCCAACCATTGTTATGGGTTCTGTTAGGATTTAGGAAGTGTGATTGCTAAGCTTATATTCCTAATTTATCTTTTTATAAGGTCTTGAAGGACATCTTGCCTTAAAAGTTATACTTTTAAACTTAAAGGAAAAGAGAAACATTGGAGATCTTGCCAGTCCCAATTTGTTCCTCTAACTCCTTGCAACAGACAAACTGGTGCATGAATAGTATCTTTGATCTACATGATGGTGTTCTATATTCTGGATCCATCAAACTTAAATATGTGTGTTTGTCTATATATGGATTTTGTAATTGAATTTCTCTCAGGTTTGTTTACTAGAATATGTAGATACTTGCCACTTTTTGTTTCATATAATTCCTGGTCTTTTTGTTCAAGTCACAATTTAGTACTACTTGTTGCCTAAATAAGTATTAGCATAAGAATCTTCAATGTTTTAGTAATGGTCAGAGCCTTTGGTTGAGCCTATCCATATATGAGGTTGACTTCGAGTTTTTCTCTACATTACTCTTCTACATTGAGTCTTTCAAATGATCATATGCATGCACTTTGTAACTTGGGCCCATATTCCTGTTTTCTTTCTAGAATTGATACCCATTACTCTTTTCAAATAACAGGAGGAATGGAGATTTTATTACTAAAAGTGCTTCTCAACAACATCTCCAGCTTTTTCCATTTATCATCACTGGAGAACATAAATTCTGAACTGGTGCATAAATATTACCAGAAGACTGAAGATATACTGAAGCTCCTACAGCCAATTCTCAGTGGTATTGTTGACGCTGAAATAGCTTCTGATGAACTGCTTCAAAAGGTATTTTCAGGACTGGGCCATTCAGTTGATGAGCTGAGGGAGCTGTTTCAGACCTGGCAGCTGTTGAGCAGTAAAGTTTATTTTGTATGTTGTCACATCTATGCTTTACAGTTACGATTCGCAAACATGGATAAATACCTAACTAGTCCTTTACTTAAATTAAAGGGAGCTTTCCTGTTTGCTATTTAAACATGGAAAATAATCCATTGCCCCTCCTTTTCACACTGGTTAAACTTTTTATTTTATGTGAAGAACCTGTTGAATACATTAGACGACTCCAAAAAAAGAAGAATGCCAGAACAACAACTAAACTTTGAAGGAATAAAAAAGGTTATCTTACTGATGCTTGGATGAAAAACAGGTTCTGCAAGCTGAATCATTAATTGCAAAAGTTCGAGCTTTCAGCCTGAAGATTGTTGAGCTACTTGTATCTTCTGATTGGTGTCTTCCTGCTGAATCAAGTTTGACATCTCTTGAGGTATGAACTGAGAATAATTTGTATCTATCATTCTCTGATATCTCTATGTGCCACTTTTTACAAAGATTTGCTTATGTATCATTAATTATATCTTTGAGGACTCCATTTTGAACTCCTGGTGGGGATGCCTTATTCATGATTTGCAGAACTGTGTACTGAAAATCAAGTCTATGGATTATGAATTATTATCAGCAACCATCACAAAAGCCATAAAAAATCACGTGGAAGGTTCTGGAGCTAGCTCAGATAGCCTTACAAAAATTGCAGACTGCCTGAGCTTAAAGTCAAACCAGGAGCTCCTTATTGAGCTAGTGGCCCTTGAAAAATTGAAGGAGAATGCTGAACAAGCTGAAAAGAATGAGGAGGTTGAATATATTGAACAAATTATTGCTCTTGTTACTCATATGCATGACTGCCTCATTATGATGAAACAGTCCGAGAGTTGTACCTCCGTGCAGATACCTGCTGATTTCTGTTGTCCTCTCTCACTTGAGCTCATGACAGACCCTGTAATTGTTGCATCTGGACAAACATATGAACGGAACTTTATTCGAAGATGGATTGATCTTGGCCTCACTGTTTGCCCTAAGACAAGACAAACTCTGACCCACACAAATCTGATTCCTAATTACACTGTTAAGGCGTTGATTGCAAATTGGTGCGAAATGAACAATATAAAGCTGCCGGATCCAATAAAGTCTTTGAACGTGAACCAACCTTCATCACATGTAGCTCATGTGGATTCCGGTGCACCCAGGGATATCCATATCTTCTCTCATTCAAGAGCCAATAACTCCACATCACCTGACTCAGCTCACGGTTTAGACTCCCCTAGGAAAAGTTCAATCTCATCTAGTGCAATTCAAAGAGAGGAGTCATCTCCGTCTCATCCCCGTTCATCATCGGAGGAATCTCTGCCTGAAATTGCAGGTGATGATCTGGGGTTGGATGTTGAGAGGATGTCTCTTGAGGGTTCTGAAGACAGATTGGCAAACTCAGGGGATAGGAGCATGAACTCTGTCAGTCATTTCTCTATGCCACTATCCATGAATAGCGTGTCATCTGCTGATGAAAACTCCCATCAGGGCCATAATCGAACTACCTCTGCACCAAGTACGCTCTCTAATTCAAACTTTTCACGTGCAAATGCTCATGATGGAAATGAAGTGTCTTCACCCACAACAGCTTCTACTGAAGCTTCCATGGAGGTTGCATCAGAATCCCGGCATGCTGCAACCTTGGCTGCTTCAAGGAGAGAGTCCGAGTTTCCATCCCCAGTTGGGACAAGACTTCGTCCTCCAGCGATCTGGCGCAGACCATCTGAGAGATTAGTTTCAAGAATAGTTTCTTCCCCTACTGTTGAAACAAGGGCTGATCTTGCAGAAGTTAAGGAGCAAGTTAGAAAACTGGTTGAGGACTTGAAGAGCACTTCCGTTGATCAACAGAGAATTGCAACAGCTGAACTCCGGTTACTTGCCAAACATAATATGGACAACCGGATTGTGATTTCAAATTGTGGTGCTATCAGCTTGTTGGTTAACCTACTGCATTCAGAAGACATGGAAGTACAGGAAAATGCTGTCACAGCACTTCTAAACCTGTCAATTAATGATAACAACAAGTCTGCAATTGCAAATGCTGGTGCAATTGAACCTCTGATTTATGTACTTGAGACCGGGAGCCCTGAGGCCAAGGAAAACTCTGCTGCCACTCTTTTTAGCCTCTCTGTTATCGAGGATAACAAGATTAAGATTGGCAGGTCTGGGGCAGTACAGTCTCTTGTTGATTTACTGGGAAATGGAACTCCTAGAGGCAAGAAAGATGCAGCAACCGCTTTGTTTAACCTGTCAATACTTCATGAAAACAAGGGCCGCATTGTGCAGGCAGGTGCAGTCAGGCATCTTGTAGAGTTGATGGACCCTGCTGCTGGAATGGTTGACAAAGCAGTTGCTGTTTTGTCAAATCTTGCTACCATTCAAGAGGGAAGAATGTCAATTGGTCAGGAAGGAGGTATTCCTATTCTAGTTGAGGTTGTGGAGTTGGGATCTGCAAGAGGTAAGGAGAATGCAGCAGCTGCTCTCCTGCAATTGTGCACAAACAGTAGTAGGTACTGCAATATGGTTCTCCAGCATGGAGCTGTCCCTCCATTAGTAGCATTATCCCAGTCTGGCACACCCAGAGCGAGAGAAAAGGTTTGATGCTAACCATCTACATATATGGTTTCTGCCATTAGTTTTAGGATGCTATGGGGTTAACTTATTGGATTCCAACTACCTTGCAGGCTCAGGCACTTCTCAGCTACTTCAGAAACCAACGTCATGGTAATGCAGGCAGGGGCTGATATTGTAGTTTGAGCTCTAAAGCACATACTGATGTTTAGGTAAGAGATTGTATGGTGTGTGTAAATCTCAAGTTAGGAATAATTTAAACAGAGGTCGTATTTCATTACCTAAGCAGATACATGGGATCAGGAAAAAAAAAATGAGCTATAGTCTTACAGAGAGAGACTTTATTGAGTCCATCTAAAAAACCTTTATTGGTGAATGTGGAGGGAATTTTTATAGCAGTAAGATTAAACTTTGTTTAGTTTCAGTACAGAAAGTTGTATGTATTTTTCTCTGTTTTATTTATCAAATCTTATGCTTTTGTGGCAATAACTGAACATCTAAGATATCTGTCTGTGCACCACAGAAATTTGTTTATGCTATGCAGTTTGCCTCATTGCCATTGTTCAATTGGAGAGTTTTTTTTTTTTTTTTTTAATTAATTAATTTTATTGCAATGACTGAGGCGTTGCGTCTTTGCAACTTGGATCCATATTTTCGCCTGGTGGCTACTTTTTCTACTCCTACTGATTTACATTTACTTACAGTGAGTTGCATTCATTCTGCAGATCAGCTTCTGGCATTCTTTTTTTCTTACCTCTAACTTATAAGTTGTAACTATGCTTTTTTTTTTTAAAAAAAAAAAAAAAAAACTTTTTTAAGTGTGCAAAAGAGGGAAGAGGAAGTTTATAAATTGTAATTATGGATGTTTATTATTGTTCACAAATATAATCATTTTTTATTTTCTTGTCAATATCAACTTAAATAATCTGCCATGCATTTCATAATTTTATTATTTTTAAATAACTTTACAAATGTAAAAGTTAATTGTCTAAGCTATGATTTGAAGAATGTTTGAATAGACTTGGCCAATTATGCACAGTATTTTGTAAAGTTGAATTTTTCCTCATTCTTTGGATGACCAAGTATTTACAATAGCCTCTTTATTTCCATCTTCATCATCGTTATTGTTGTTTAACGTAGAAAAAGAAGAGTTTGATACATGACATACTAATGTGATTTTCATTCGATGGTTCTGTTTCAATCATAGTAGACGTTGGCAGGTGAGAATCTCACTGTCATGCCATTCAATATTTTTCTGAGAAGGGTGATGCAATAAGTGCAAAGTAGTATAGTAAAATTAGTAATCAGTGGCAAGAGTATGTTGTACATCACATTACAGAAACAACCCTAGAAGGAAGAAATGATGTAAGTATGCAGGGGAGAAGGAAAGGAGCAAAATGAAGTCGTGCATCATCCATGGATCAGTCAAATTTTGGGGTGATTATCATTCTGATTACAGTCTTGCCACATGATCTCAACACATCCAAACCGTGCATCAATTCCGAATCACACGTTAGGGTAATCCATTCATCTTCCTCATCTTGATACTTGATAGACATATTTTCTAGTGATATTTTAAACTTTGTTTCCAATTGCTCCTCCAAATATTTCATAGTTGAGGCGGAGGATGAGAGCGGAAACCTTATAGTATCATTTTTATAGGTTACCTTCATTGACATGACGCTATTAGCTTGGAGTGTAGTTGTTGTGGCTTCTGCAGGAGGCAGGGCAGGACATGATTGAGTTCCTTTAGGCTTCTTATCAGCTTGTTTTTGGTTGAGAGAGGAATTTGGCCTTTTTCTGTTGTGATTTGGCCATCTAGGGATGCCAAAATTTCTACATGCTCGCTTCAATGTAGATGTGCTAACTGCACAATATAATATAATGGTCATTAGATATTCAACAACAAAAAAAAAAAGATGGGGTGTCCTCTCTGAAACCTATCTATACACTAACAAAATACTGAATTCTACTACATCAAATATATGATCAAACTGTTAGCTCACCTTTAAGAGTTTTAGCAGCATCATCGCGACTCAGCCTCTTATGAAGCAGTTGTTCAAGAACCTGACGGGTAATTCCATGATCTTTCTGCCACCTGCAAATTGTGTCATTTTTCTTTGAACTGTTTGCTTTGGCATCAATGCCATCTAACCCAACTGCTTCTCTTCCTTCATTTGTTGCACTGGACTCTGGAATTTTGCCTTCACATGATGAGTCCTGTTGGTGTTGGATCATCTCTCCCCTGCAATTGGCATTACCAACTTCTAAATGCCACAACTTGCTTCCTCGTCCATTCCATAACTTCACACCTGCTTTCAGAAAATATACAATGAAGTGGTCCAACAGCCCTTCCAAACTGCGTAGAAATGCCCTGTCAAAGCGCCCCAGAAACGTCCTTTCTAAGCAAACCATTGAGTTGTGTTCCATCATCCCTCCACTGCTTTCTGGTTCAAGTGCTAGCCAAAGGCTAACATCATTACCCTTTTTTTCCGATGAAAAATTAAGTTCTAGTTCTACATACGCCTGCTTGCCAGTTAGCCACAGTATTTCCTCCCCATTTCGCAATTCTGCAACCATCTTCTGGAGATGCCGTATCGAGCAGACCACAAAGGGAGTCTCAACTTCAAAACACCGCTGCTTGCAAGTTGCCTGCATCATTTTTCTCCACGTCTGTAACACTTGAACCTCCTCATTACCCCCGGGGATAACTACTGGATCAAAATTCCCGGGGGAATCATCTAATGGCAGTGAAGAGTTCATCCTAATCGGACTCACCATCATTCCTCCTGCCATGTCGGCCGGTGATTGAATAGGCATGTGGAATAACGCATCTACGAAAAGATCCTCTAGATTAACGAAGCGATCATCATTTCTTTGTCGATGACTACCCGAGATCTGGTGCACCGTCCCTTCAAGTGCTTGATTCTTTCCCAAGGCAGCAGCATCAACTTCTGTACGCAACTCACTTTGCTCTGCATAATCCCACAAGTTAACCGATCCACGATTTCCGGGGGAAGCACCGGACGGCAGAGACGAATTCATCCTTGGGGGGCTTACCATCATTCCTCCCGTCATGTCGACCAGTAGATTGTGCACATGGAATAACTCTGTATTATCCTCAAGAATTGTCATGGGCGCAGTTGAGTAGCTGTAAGAGATTTGGGGAAAATATAATAATTGTGTTTGATTTTGACTAAGCTGAGGAGCTTTGTTGAATTGTGTATTAGACTATTGGCGCCCATCAATCATCAGTATATATAATTATATAATACAACAATGGGCTGATATGCCAGCTGCCGTTATGAAACTTTATGTTATTCTATGGTTCTATTTGGCACTTGTAACTGAAAAATTATCTAAAAATTAAAAGATGAAAGTTGTAATTAATAAGTTAAGTAATTGAAATTAAATTTTGAACAGATACTACAATGTAATAGAGTTAGTAGCATTCAAAAAAAAAGTTAAAATTAAACTATTTGATAAAATTAATGGTTAAATTAACTGATAAATGTAGAAAGATATAAAAAGATAAACTAAAATATTAGGATTTTGATTAATAAAGGATAGAGTGTTAGAGCATCCACAATGGTTGGGGATAATTGGGGGATAATGTAAGAGTGATTAGGAGAGAGAATGTGGGAAGAGGAGGAAAAAAAAAACAAAAAAATTAAAATCAAAAATTAAAAAAAAAAATAAAAAAAACAAAAGTGTCAGACGCGTGCAAATATTATTTTTGATTTGAGAGATTTATTTCTGAAATAATTCACCATTCTCCCCTTAGTGTGGATGCTCTTAGACAAGTACATCATCCTCAAATTTGATGCCCATGCTAGATTCATCAACTGCTTTAACAAAAACAGTTTGTTGTTCTCGGTCTTGGAAGCATAAAGGATCTCAAGTTTATCCCATAAGCTCCTGACATGTGTCTCATTGACAATGTGATTCAGGACATTGTCTTCGACCCATTGTGGAATATAACCACAAACTTGTTGGTGCTCAAAGTCCGTATCTGACATATTTTCAGGCTTTGTACTTGTAAACACGGGTAGATATAATCTCTTCAAAAACAGGAGATCCTTCATTTTAGCTTTTCAAATGTGAAAATTTCTACCGTTCAAACGTACCATATTAATTGTATTTGTTTCCATGTCAAATATACCCAATAAACAACATGACTCTGATATCACTTTGTTATGAAAAATCCCATTTCCTGTGACAATAAAAATCACAGGACCTACAAGAACACACATATGAAATGATACAAAATAGCCAAAAATAAATAGCAACTCAAAGTACATTGCCTGAAAAACCTCAACTTCAAGTTGCAACAAGGAATGAAAAATCACAACTAGCAAAACATTGAAACTAGCTAAAGCTAGAGTGTGGGATCACAGTACAATACAAACCAACTGAACTCTTTCCTCTCCATTTTAATCTCTTTTTCCAGCATCTACGCATGCGTATTTGAAAGGGTGAGTTAGGGAATCCAGCAAAATAAGGTCGCTTCCCGGCCACTATATAACTTCTAACGGCACCATTTTAAAGAATTTGGTTGTGGAGACGTAGGTTGCCTAGTGTAACACACGGGGCACTTTGCTACACATTTATGATATTTGTTACATCTTTTTGGACTTCTCTAGAACTTGTACATAGCATCCCATAGTTGGTAGAATAGTTTGGAAGCATATAGATAACACTAGAAGATGCAGGGATGCTTTAGAATATTTTAGAACCCTATAGAATACTCTTAGTTTGGTAGAGATTTAAGGAATGTTAAAGAACTAGATTATTAGCCATTAGATCTAAGTAAATCTCCACCATGCACTGAGGAGGTGGAATGGCTATAAATAACCCTCATGGGGCTCATTTGTAACAATGCAAGAAATAAAAGGGAATCAAGAAAGTTCAAGAGTTCAAGTAATCTAAGTTCCTTACAAACCTTTTGAGTTCTTTCTTAAGCTTCTTTGTGAGATTCTTGCCTTGTTTTCTTAGTCATCCAATCATCAGATTAGCATCACCTTCAATCATCATATTAGCATCACCTTTGAGGGTCTAGTGAGGCTGACTTAGCTATTGCGATGGAAAGAATAGCTAAGGATCATCATGACTCTTATCAAATTGTTCACGACTCTTATCAAATTGTTGCTGAAGAAAAAAAATTTAAATAGAGGTCATATTTTGCTAAAGAAAAAAAATTTAAACATAGGTCGTATTTCATTACCCACGCAAATACGTGGGATCAGGAAAAGAAAAAAAAGCTATAGTCTTACAGAGTGAGGCTTTATTTATTGAGTCCATCTAAAAAAAAACTTTATTGGTGAATGTGGAGAGAATTTTAGTAGCAGTAAGATATATATTAAACTTGTTTAGTTCCCTTTAAAAAATAAAAAACTTGTTTAGTTTTAGTACAGAAAGAAAGTTTATGCATTTTTTCTGTTTCATTTAGCAAATCTTATGTTTTTTGGCAATAACTGAAGTACTGAACATTTAAGATGTCTGTCTGTGCACCATAGAAATTTGTGTATGCAGTGCAGTTGCCTCATTGCCATTGTTCAATTGAAGAGGGTTAACATATATATATATATATATATATATATATATATATATATATATATAAATTAATTAATTTATTTTATCGCAATGACTGAACCAGCACGTAGGCCCTAAGCATCTTTGCAACTTGGATCCATATTTTTGTCCATGGTGTGGCTATTTATCTACTCCACTGATTTACATTTACTTACAGTGAGTTGCATTCATTCTGCAGATCAGCTTCTGTCATTCTTTTTCCTTACCTCTAACTTATAAGTTGTAACTATGCTTTTTAAACTTTTTTAAGTGTGAAAAAAGGGAGGAGGAGGTTTATAAATTGTAATTATGGATTTTTATTATTGTTCACAAATATAATCATTTTTTATTTTTCTTGTCAATATCAACTTAAATAATCTAAAAGTCAGCCATTCATTTCATAATTTTATTTTTTAAATAACTTTACAAAAGTAGAAGTTTCTTTCAAAAAAAAAAAAAAAAACTTTACAAATGTAGAAGTTAATTGTCTAAGCTATGATTTGAAGAATGTTTGAATAGACTTGGCCAATTATGCACAGTATTTTGTAATGTTGAATTTTCCTCATTCTTTGGATGATCAAGTATTTACAATAGCCTCTTTATTTCCATCTTCATCATCGTTATAGTTGTTTAACGTAGACAAAGAAGAGTTTGATACATGACATACTAGTGTGATTTTCATTCGATAGATGATGAAAGACCTTTCTGTTTCAATCATAGTAGACGTTGGCAGATGAGAATCTCACTGTCGTGCCATTCAATATTTTTTTGGAGAAAGGCGATGCAATAAGTGCAAAGTAGTATAGTAAAATTAGTAATCAGTGGCAAGATTGTTGTACATCACATTACAGAAACCCTAGAAGGAAGAAATGATTTAAGTATGCAGGGGAGAAGGAAATGAGCAAAATGAAGTCCTGCATCATCCATGGATCAATCAAATTTTGGGGTGATTATCATTCTGATTACAGTCTTGCCACATGATCTCAACACATCCAAATCGTGCATCAATTCCGAATCACAAGTTAGGGCAATCCACTCATCTTCCTCATCTTGATACTTGATAGACATATTTTCTAACTACAATAAAAATCATGATTCGCGCGACGGAAAAATTTCGTTGCGAAAACGCAAAATTCCCTCGCAAATCGCGTTTTGCGACGGAATTCATTCCGGAGTGTCAGGCTTGTCGTATTTCATTTCGTGACGGAAAAAATCTGTTACGAGCGATGACGACGACGATGAAATTTTCCGTCGCAAAGTAGGCTACGGAAATCATTCCGTCACGGTATTGGCAACAGAAATGTTTCCTTCCATTGCCATCGCGTGAAAAAATATTTTGTCGTGAAAATATAACGACAGAAATAATTATTGTCGCGATTCCGTTGCTAACGTTTTCATTAGAAATTTTGTATTCCGTCACAAAATTCCGTCATAATTGTCGTCGCCATAATAATAATAAATATTACATCGCTAAAATCACATTTCGTCGCGGTTTTACTAAATTATTATTTTTTAAAAAATATTTTGATAATTATTATTATTTTGTTAAAATTCTTTTTTTGAAAATTTATTTTGTTAAAATTCTAATATTTGTATTTAAAATGTTAATATGCAATTATATTTATAAACAAATGCACTATTAAACTAAAATACAATATAATTTGTAATATATTTGTAATATAAAAGTAATACCACTTTATAGTTCAAAAATGTGATTGTTGTACTTAATACCAAATTCATGTCTCAACAACAATATAATAATCCATAAAAAAAATCAATATCAAGTCTCTAACATCATGAACTATACTACCCAATGAAATATAATCTGTAAACCGTTGTATTTAACTCCTCTTTGTTGGGTAGACCTCTTTCCTGCAAATTGCAGCTCACTTTGATAAATGAATGTGGTTGCAATGGAATGAAAACAATTGGGCTTAAGTAATGGGAATGAATAATTAACAAAGAATAATTAAAAAAGAATAATTTCTTAAAGACAATAAGAAGAAATAGACGAAAGCAACCATGGCTTCAACCAATCAACTACTAGTACTTAATTTTGAACTATCAAATTAAAATATCAACCTAGTCTTTTGATTGATATGTAATATACTCAGAGACTCCATTGAAACAAACGTGAGTTTTCATGAGCAAAATGAAATTGAGAAATAAAAGCTAATCATCACATCTCAAGCATTTGGCATCATCCCAATGTTCAATGTTGTCATGAATTCATGATTAGTAAAGATATTTATTTCAAGAAATGATACAAGTGCTACAGAAAGCCTCATCACCATTCTACTAAAACTAAAACAAAATATGACAATTTCAATTTGACAGTTTAAGAGTAGCCATTATTCAAGATGCACTCTTTCATCTTTCACTTGTTAAGACACAACAATATTGAATGAAATTTGAGTGATTTACTCTATCAATTGTAAGAAAACCATAATAGGGTGGGTAAAATGTAAAGCTTTGATTTCAAGTCCAAAAGCAAAGAATTTCACATAATTGAGAGAAAAAAAACAGTAGAATTTGACACTCCCTATTACTAAACTAACCTCATAGTTCATACTGTTACTTGTTAGGATCAACATCATCTTCCCTTGGATTTGAACTTTCCGCCAGCATATAGACATGGAAACCTAAAATCACACATTTAATAAACTCATTGTGTAGAAAATTATTGGAGGGAGCAAGAAGTGTTGCATGAGACCATTGTAGCTTTCTAGGAGTTTCTCTATGAGTGGATTCTCATTTCCTGTAAACAAAGAAGAGATTAGTTTTGCTTCCAGCAATGTAGAGTAAAAAAAACCCAAAATTACATAGCAAAAAGTTAACATTTTTAATATTTAAAACTAATAAGGAATTAGTAAACCATTGACTAAGGCCAAGAATCCTCTACCCTAACCGTATTCTTGGTTAGTAAACAAATAATGGTCAACATAACATTTAGCAGAAATGACACCATAAGAAATTGGTAATTAAAATAATCCAACTCATTTCATCTCTATCTAGTGATATTTTACACTTTGTTTCCAATTGCTCCTCCAAATATTTCATAGTTGAGGCGGAGGATAAGAGCGGAAACCTTATGGTGTCATTTTTATAGGTTACCTTGACAGACATTAGGAGGCAGGGCAGGATATGATTGAGTTCCTTTATGCTTCTTATCAGCTTGTTTTTGGTTGAGAAAGGAATTTGTCCTTTTTCTGTTGTGGTTTGGCCATCTAGTGATGCCAAAATCCCGACATGCCCACTTCAATGTAGATGTGCTAACTGCACAATATAATATAATCGTCATTGTATATTCAACAAAAGCAAAGGTGGGGTCTCTCAGAAAGTATTCAAGCATGAAGCAACAACCACCTATCTATATATACACGAATGAAATACTGAATACTATTACATCAAATATATGATCAAACTGTTAGCTGACCTTTTAAGAGTTTTAGCTGCATCATCGCGACTTAGCCTCTTATCAAGCAGTTGTTCAAGAACCTGTCAGGTAATTCCATGATCTTTCTGCCACCTGCAAATTGTGTCATTTTTCTTTGAAGTGTTTGCTTTGGCATCAATGCCATCTAACCCAACAACTTTTCTTCCTTCATTTGTTGCACTGGACTCTGGAATTTTGCTTCACATGGTGAGTCCAAAGCACAACAAGGACATACACACAACAACATAATCAGACTCAAGGCATAACATCAAAATACACACAATAAGACCACCAATCAACATCCTGAAGCAGCTAAAGGAGCTTCGTCTTCGATAATTTATATATATTATTCCCAAAGTGGGGGTGCCATTGATAAGCATATTTTACACTCATATTTTAGATACATCTTTATAATAATTTTGCATTAGTTATTTAATATTATCTAATAATTAGTTCTTTTTATATATAATATATAATCCTCTATTATAATAAAGCCAAACATTTTTGGTAATACAAAAATTTTGTTTTCCCGCCCATGGGAAACGAGGCGTTTTGCGTTGGAAATGTTGTTTTGTTTTTGGACACCGATCAAATTGCTCTACAACTGTTGTCCACTTTCCATTGATTTACAGCTGTTACATCTGTTTTTTTGAGAACAGATGTTGTCCACTTTACATCATTTGTCCACTTTACATCTGTTAATATATACTCCGTAATATATTGCTGCTCTATTTTTCAACTACGGAGTATTTAATTAATCCATGACTTACAGCTGTTGTCAGTACGGAGTACTTTATTACTTTCAGCAGAAGCAAGCATGGTGTTAAGAAGTACATCATTTTTTTAAACTAAATTTTGGTGGGAAACTACCTATAAATAGTGCACATTAATTGCATACATGGTGAAACCCCACATTTGCATTGTAGCTGCTCTATCTCATGAAGTTGAAGTTGTTAAAGAGATAGAGAATGAAGAAACTCACAGGGAGAATACATATAGGAACAAAGAGGAGACAAACTGAGAATGACAAAGGTAAAGCTCTTTGAGAACAAAACTAGATATAGTTGAGACTATGAATCCTCTATATATATATATATATATATATATATATATATATATATATATATATATATATATATATATATATATATATATTCTTTTAGCAGCATTTGCTTTGTCATCTCTGGATCAAAGAGCTTTTTAATCTTCAAAAGCACTACATTGCAACAACAACAACAGGTAGTAGAATGAAGAAATTTTCAAAAACACTCTTTTAAGAAATTTTTAATTGCACTACATTGCAAAAAGGAGTATAAAATGGTGTCTTTGGTGTCTTTCACACCATTACAACAAAAAGAAAAAAAAAACATTTCTTCAGATCACTTCCATCCTTCAAATCTGGATAGCTACCAGCAGTTTAGAGAAAATCAAAAGATGAGAAAATTAGTCAATTAAACTATTGTTGGTTACAAGAGAAAACATATGCATGATCATCTAAATAAAGGTACACTTTCAGCTCACTGAATTATGCATGCTCTTTATCATATATTGTATTGGTATAATATGTTAATTAAAAGCACTATTCTTTTTAAGTCAGTAGTTGTAAATTTTTTTCAGTATTTTCTGGTCAGTTTTGTGATTTACCTTCTTCCAAAAACTATACAATGTATAATTACAGTGACTATTTTTAAAATGTATGTGCGTAATTATGGAAATTTGAACTTTATATTCTCTATTTGATAAAAAATGAATTTATAGTTCAAATATTTCTGAATTCAAATTCTTTTATTTGCTTAATCATTAAAAAAAAAAAAAAAAAAAAAAAACATTCTGGCAAATGCGTACAACACAAATTTATTTTCTTAATAAATCTGAAACTAAAAAAAAAAAACACATTTTAGATACAGATCTATAGTTTTCAGATTAGGGACTACTTATCTTTATCAATTTCGTCTTAGCACCTTTAAATCCAAGCTTATGAACTGCGAAATTTGTCTGCATGTACATCTACCGTGCTTCTTGTGCTTTTCTATGCCTATATTCGTTTGTTGCTGGTCAGATGTAGATAGATCTGTAAACAAAGAATTAGGGTTTAGGATTAACGAATTTAAATGAAAATTGTCGTGGTATGTAATTTAAACGTACCGTGTGAGAAAGAATCTTTCTCTATACCCATGGAAGACGATGCTCATTACACAGTCTAGGTTCAGATTGTGCGGAAAATTTAGGAGATGTGTTGGGATGGTGAAACGAGGGAATTAGAAGAATCTCGCAGGTAGTCTTGGTATTAAGGAGCAGAGTGAAAGTCGACTGTAGTCTCCGCCTTGATTTACATTTCTGTCGACGGAAACACAACTGCGGCAAAATAGGGAGGAAGCCGATGGGTAAATGGGGAAGGGTGTTAGGTTGAAATGGGTGGGCTGGCTATTTGTAGTTGGGTTAAATTATTAGTTTGGGCTGTGGATTAACTTGGGCTCTGATTCATTTTCAGGGTAGTCCATATATATATATAAAAATATGTATGTGTGTGTATATACATATAATTTAAAATTAGATTTATGTTTATAGTTTGAATATTTTTTCACAAAAAAAATAAAAATAAATAATTATTCCATTTTTAGTTGCCGTATTATTGTATGATGTTTTACCTTTTTTTTTTTCTTTATTTATTGTATAAGTGATAAGTGATATGCTATTATGTATTGGGTAATCGTTGGGCTGTGATATATGGTGGACTATTTGAGCAAAAATGCTTCCAACTGGCAAAATGGAAGGTGCAGAGTCATCTTCAGGCTAAAATGCTTCGAACTAGCGAAACGGATAATGAGGAAGCTTTTGGATTGAAGAGTGAATACAGATATGGGGAAGGGGTTGACCATGACTACGTATTACATGCCGACATGTAGAAATTTTATTATTATTATTATTAAAAAGAATATTGTGGTCCAAATGTAAAGTATTGTTATTATAGTAGAGGATTGGTAATAATATTATTAGTAAGAGTATTGTGGTCCAAATGTGTTGATAATATTATTAGTATTAATGTGTTAATAAAATATTAGTATTAATATTGATGTGTAAATGTTCAATACCATGTTATGTGGAGTTCTATTTTTTGCTGATATATACTATTATTGTTTTTTTAGAAAATCAAAGTTTATCAAGTGTTAAGATAAAAAAGACAGCATCTGGGGGTATTTTGGTTGATAGTACATCAAAAAATCATATATACGGTGTATTCCAAGCATCACTATCTACACACCTTAGTGTAATTTCTTCTGGTGAGGCATTAAATTGTATAATTTACTAAATTTTTATTACTTAGTATATTAATAGTGCTAATTCTCTGTTTTTTTTTTTTTTTTTTTTTTTTTTTTTTTTTTTTTTTTTATAGAACACACATTAATAAATACAATAGGTGACACATATTATATGTCACCAAATCGTACATCAGATTGGAGGAGGAATAATCAAGAGGAACAACGTACACCACTTGCTCAAATCAATAATAGTAAGTTCCATTGCCACACTTACTATTTAGTTTTGTTTGTTAACATTTAAAATATTTCTTTATATACAATGTCATGTGTTTATAATTTTTCAATATTAATATTCTTCTTATAGGTCAAAGGCAAGAAATTACTGAGAATAACTACTCCCCTCATGCAGCCAGTTGTGCTAGGTCAAGCATAGAGAACAATATGGCTTCTGAAAAAATTAGTCTCCTAACTAATGGTAATCGCAATATTGTAGTGTATTTAAGATGGAATACAATTAGTAAACAAATATGTAATGCCATATTTTTAATGTAGTTACAGGTTATCTTCCAAGGTCAATACTCAAGGCCACAAATTTAGGTACAGCGACAGAGGTTTTGCATACAGTGTCGATTAATAACCCACGTTCAAGTATGACTATATATTCACTATATAGTTAACTGTTTAAAGATTGTCTGTATATACTTATTTTAGCTTGCATAATGCTTATAGTACTTTTTCATTTTTTAGTAAGCAATGCGGATGACCATTTTAAAGAAAGAAATTTTAATAATAGTTGGGTGAATGGATTTAACTCAACGTCACAATGTAGCGATCTAAATTCCAAATTTGATCAAGTGAGTGACTTTCAAGCAACTACATCAAACACGCTCAATTGTAAGTATCAATAATATAGGTCTAAGAAAAAAGTAAAAATAATGATTACTATATTAGTAGTACATTTAATTCGAAAATTTCTTCCTTAGGTGTTGATAATGGTATTTGTAATTCAATGCGGATGTATCTACAAAACAATGGTGAAGATCACGTGTCATCCCTTAACGCGTTCAATTGCATGACCGAAGAAATTGGGGAAGTCTGTGGCCAGCTGAGAAACACAACAAATGTTAATGATGGTTAGTTTACATTTTTTTTTTTATAATTTCTAATTCCTAATGAAATTATTGTAGCCAAAATTATAACAAACTGTTTTAAACTTCAGTTCAATACATTGATTTTGGAGATCCACTTGATACATGTGAGCACTGCAGCTGTTTTTATTGGTACGAGGAAAGAACCAACAAGACTAAAACGACTTATGCCATTAAGTATTCAGGATGTTGTGGGAATGGGAAAATCAAACTACCTAGGATGTCAATTCCTCCAAAGAAATTATATGATCTATTTTTTACGCCAAGTGAGAAACGAAATCGTTTCTTACAAAACATACGATCATATAATAGCATGTTTTGCTTTACATCAATGGGTGGGAAAATAGACAAAAGTGTAAACAATGGTTCAGCTCCTCCCATTTTCAAGATACATGGACAGAATTTTCATCGTATTGGTAGCTTGCTACCACCTGATGGTAGTCAACCGAAGTTCGCACAATTATACATTCACGATACACAAAATGAAATTCAGAATCGCATTGCTTCTGTCAGGTATAGTGTAGATCAATTTAGTGTTCAATTGTATAGATTCGTTTACAAGTATTTTGTTTAATTTGGGTTATAAATTTTTTAATACAGGGAAAACACATCACGACAAGAGTTGCATGTTGAAGTGGTGGAGGACATTAGAGATGTTTTAGATGAAAATAATGTATTGGTGAAGTCATTTCGTATGGCTATGTCAGGAATTGATAGAAATCCAAGGGTCGAGATCAAGATGCGATTGATTGGTATAAGAAATACAGATGCAAGGACTTATAATTTGCCAACATCGTCAGAGGTCGCAGCACTAATTGTTGGTGATCTGGATCCATCTATGGGTCATAGAGATATTTTGGTTGAGTGTAAATCCGGTGGTTTGCAACGAATAAATGAATTAAATCCATCATACATACCATTGCAATACCCGATTTTATTTCCGTATGGTGAAGATGGGTTTAGAGAGGATATACAATTTGCAACCAGAACGTCTACTAGCACGAATGCTAGGAAGCGTATATCTCAAAGGAAGTTTTTCGCATTCCGTATCCATGAGAGATTGGATGAATTATCTACTATTTTGTATGCTAGACGATTATTTCAACAATTTATTGTGGATGCATACACAATGGTAGAATCTTCGAGGTTGATATACATAAGGACTCACCAAAAATCATTGAGGTGCGAAGCATTAAGAGGTTTGACAGATGCTTTGACTAGAGGAGAGACCGAAGCCAGCACTCAAGGAAAAAGAATACTTTTGCCCTCAAGCTTTACTGGTGGTGCGAGGTACATGATTCAGAATTATCAGGATGCAATGGCCATCTGTCGACATATTGGTTATCCAAACCTATTCGTTACATTCACATGTAACCCGAAATGGCCGGAAATACAGCGATACATTATGAAGAGAAACTTACATGCTGAAGATCGACCTGACATTGTTTGTCGTGTATTTAAGATGAAGTTGGATTGTTTAATCAAGGAAGTCAAACATGGTGAGCTATTTGGCCCAGTGAAATCAGGTAATGATCCAATATTGTAAAATCATAATTTATCCCGTACGTTTTTTAATATTAATATCAAAACAAAAAATAATTATAATTGATATGTCATTGCAGTTATTTACACAATTGAATTTCAAAAGCGTGGGTTACCACATGCACATATCTTGATATTCCTAAAGAATAAAGGTGACATGTCCAATCCGACATACATAGATTCCATTATAAAGGCTGAGATCCCAGACAGAGAATTAGATATGGATTATTACAGTGCAGTTGAGGAATTCATGGTTCACGGACCATGTGGATTGGCAAGAAAGAATTCCCCATGCATGGTTAATGGAAAATGTTCTAAACACTTCCCCAAAAAAATCGCAGATGAATCGCAGTTTGACCACGAGGGATACCCCGTATATAGACGGCGGGATGATGGAAAAACTGTTAAGAAAAACGGTATAGATTTAGACAACAGGTTTGTGGTACCTCATAATAGGTACCTACTTTTGAGATACAAAGCCCACATCAACGTGGAATGGTGCAACCAATCTAGATCAATAAAGTACCTATTTAAGTACGTTAATAAGGGGAATGACCGCGTCACAGCTGAATTCTACAAGAATACTACAGATGAAAATGGTGAAGAGATCGTGGATGAGATAAACATGTACTACGATTATAGATATCTTTCCGCTTGCGAAGCCGCCTGGAGGCTGCTTAGTTTTGATGTTCAGTACAGAACTCCTGGCGTTGAGAGATTAAGCTTCCACCTCCCAAATTGTCAGTCTATTGTATTCGATGATGATGACAACATTGGCAATGTACTGGGTCGAGAAACGGTGGGCCAGAGTATGTTTAATGGATGGTTTGAAGCAAACAAGAAATATGAAGATGCACGTCAGCTAACATACATTGAAATGCCCAATAAGTTTGTTTGGAAAAAAGATGTCCGTGAGTGGCATCCAAGAAAAAAAGGTTTTTCTATTGGCCGCATATTCTTTGTCCCACCTGGTAGTGGTGAAATATACTATCTCAGGTGTCTTCTAAATATTGTGCGTGGACCAACAAGTTTTAAAGATATTATGACCTTTAATGGAGTGGAATACATATCCTTCAGGGATGCATGCTACGCACGGGGGTTATTAGATGATGATAGGGAGTATATTGATGCATTTGAGGAAGCAAGTCACTGGTCATCTGGTCATGCGATGAGAAAGTTATTTATTGTATTGTTGATGTCAAATTCCATATCGAGACCAGAATATGTATGGAATGAAGTTTGGTGTTACCTGTCTGAAGACGCTGAATTCCAACAAAGGAAACGACTCAAGAATCCAGGTATTAAAATGATTCTCAATATATATATATATATATATATATATATATATATATATATATATATATATTATTTATAATGTCGTGTATAGGTACAATATTTTTCATGTTTACTATGCACAGATTTGGTTCTAACAAAA